TGTTCGGGTTGGGTTTTTGGGTCGGGCCGGTTCGGGTCTGGGCCAGGACGAGGAGCCACCTGGACCGGCCGGAGCCCTTCCGGCGGCGCCAGAACACGGGGAGGTCGAGCTGGCGCCGCCAGCTCCGGCAGACGGAGGAAACGGAAGGGAAGTCACTGTAAGGGACTCGGGCGAGGCATTCGAGGCCCATGTCGTCAGGAAGACCCGGAAAAAGATCCATTTGGGGATGTGGATGACCCGGTTTGTGGATTGTGATGAAGAAGAGTATGACTGTGAAAAGAAAAGGGGGACTGCAAGAAAGAGGCTATCAAGAATGGCTTTTTTATACCCAAAAGGGGAATAAAAATCAAGGTCCCCTTTATTTTACTTTTGTTAATTATAATTTAGCATATGATATGATATGATGTCACAGTCGCATTTGGTTTATTGTGAATAAAATAAAATTTTAATATACGAATTTGTCAAGAATGCGTGACTGAATGTGAAAGGGAAAAGTCTTCTAGAAGGATTGTGGGTTTAAGGCAATTTTTGGTTTTAGGGACCTTTAAGCAAAATAATAATAATAATAATAATAATAATAATAATAATAATAATAATAATAATAATAAATATTTAAAAAATATATATATGACCATGATCAATTGTCTGGTGCTACAATTTTGTGAGTTGTTCCACATCGTTTATATAGGGAAATAGACATAATTTATAAGTTTAATGAGTTACTCCTCATGGGTTTCATCTGCGTTTTCCCTGTTATGTTAGAGTGCGCTTCACGTGCGTGTAATCGCACCGTTTTTGCCCCCATTTTTTATATCGTATCAGAGTCCGTTTTGCCTCCATTTTTTACATGGTATCAGAGTCCGTTTTGCCCCCTGTTCTATTGAGTTACTCCTCCTTCCACTAATTGGTTTTGGGATGGAACTTCACTTGGGTTTCATCTGGTTTTTCATGTCTTAGTGCCTCGTTTTGTCCCAGTTTTTTACATGGTATCAGAGTCCGTTTTGCCCTCAGTTCTATTGGGTTACTCCTTCCACCAATTGGTTTTGGGATGAGGAAGAGAGTGCGGTCGCACCAAGTGAAGCGCACTATAAGACAATGAGCCTAGGTGCATCTTAGTGAGGTTCCATCCAAAAACAAATTAGTGATGGGAGGAGTAGCTTACTAGACTTATATACTAGACTAATTTTCCCTATAGAATCAATATGGGATAACTCACAAGTGATATTTCAACACGCCCTTCACTTGTGAGTCCTTCGTAAGCCAAAGCCCACAGAGCAGGTCGGATAGAGAGATAAGTCCAAGCCCAGAGCAAGCCGGGTAGAGAGAGTCATTGCAGGTCTCAGGACATGCCCGCTCTGATACCATATTAGAATGGGGGAAGAGAGTGCGGTCCCACCAAATGAAGCGCACCATAAAAGGGTGAGTTTAGGTGCACCTTAGTGAGATTTCATCCCAAAACCAATTAATCTTGGTGGCCCATTTTGCCCCGGTTTCTTACATGATATCAGAGTCCGTTTTGCCCCCGATTTCATTGAACTACTCCTCTTTCCACTAATTAGTTTTGAAATGAAAACTCGTTTGAGTTTCATCTGGATTTTCCATGTCTTGGTGCACTTTATCTACGTCTGTTTTATACATCTGTATGGTGGTATGGGGCTTTTTTGGTCCTTTCCTTTTTTTCTTTTCATTTGCTTTTTTTGTGTATGTTGTATAGATAATATATACGCAAATACTTGGGTGTGCCTTGGCACACCTAGCTAGGTGTGCCAAGGCAAGGGGTGAGTGCACGTACAAAAAAGGCGCGTGGACTTAAAGCAAAAAATCTTGTCCAAAAATCATGTACACGCGCAGAGAGAGAGAAAGGAAAATAGGCGGTAAAATTCTCCTTCGTTCCGCCAAAATTGGGCTCACTTTCCAAGGAAAAAAAATCCTCTCTTTCACTACAGCTCAAGGCTATTTTCTCTTCTGAAGGCATTG